AATTTAGGTCTTCGTAAAGTTCTCTACCATTTTTCTTGTCTTTTACTTACCTCACAATTTTTGCATCATCTGCAAATATACTAAAAAATAAATTTACAGATTCCGGTAGGACATTTACATATACAAGAGTCTTACTCTAACCCTCTGTTCACTTCCTTCTCAATAAGTTTTTATCCATTCCAAGACATTTTCACCTATTCTTGCCATTACTTGCAGCTTCTTAACAATTCTCCCATGTGTGGGACCATATCAAATGTTTTCTGAAAATATAGGAATGTGCAATCTGCTAAGCCCTCTTTGGATTATCTCATCATAAAATTCAAATAAATTTGTTACTGGAGATATGCCTCCTCTGAAGCCATGTTGTCCCACAGACAAAAAGTTGAAGAATTCCAAGTGAAGAGATTTTCAGTAGTTTTTACAAAACTTTGCAAACTATGCTGGTCAAGAAAACGGGCCTATTGTTTAGAGCTGTTTCTCTTCTTCCCTTTTTGGAAATCGGCATCACATTCACTAGTTTCAAACATGCTGGAAGCTTCCCTGATTCTAGACTCGTATTAAATATGATGTGTAGTGCAACCGATATTGATCTGGCGCACTTCTTAAGTATGTAAGGGGATATGTCAATGAAACCTGTAGCTTTATGGGCATGTAACTCTATCAATGATTTGTATACCTCAGCAGTTGAAAAGATAATGTTCTCTAATACCAGCCCATGATCTATTATCTTTGCAGTCTGAGGGGGTGGAGTATTTTATACTGTAAATACTAACTGAAACTCCTTGTTCAAGTCTTTGTGGATCTCTTTATCTGTCTCAGTGATGTTTCCATTTGCCCTCTCTAAATATAAAACATATTCTTTGACCTTCAATTTTCCTCTGACAATGCTGTGGAAAAGATTAGGATATTTTTTCTTTGCCAAGTAATATCTCTCTCAAAATCCCTCTCTGCCTCTCTTCTCTTACTTAGGTAATCATTTCTTGCTCGCTTGTGAGTCTACCAGTCATTTATATTTTTTCTCCTCCTATACCTATATTAGCATTTATCTCTCCACTCCTTAGTTCTCTTACACTCATTATTGAACCATTTCTCTCTGACATATATAATTCCTATTCTGGTGAATGGTAGGCAACAAGTAACTATCTTCCCATATTCCTCACAAAAGATTTCGTACATCCCTTGTACAGATTTTTTTTGTAAAATATGGTCATCCAGTCAATAACTACAAAAAGAGTATTCATTTTGTTGCAGTTTCCTTTTGGATACTTCCTCCTCCCATGTACTCCTTAGTGTCCCTACTCACAGGCAGAACATCTTTGATGATATACGTATCAACAACACACAATAGTCACTTATTCCATTTGGTGGCTCATACTCAATTTTGCCGAAAGCCAACAGATTATCTGCGAATACTAGATCAAGCAGTGATAGCTCATCCCAACCCCAGGCCGTCATTGATTCCAGTATATGTTGGTGTAGGAAATTTCTTGTACACTCTAGAAATCTTGCCCCAAAAGAATCCTCCCCACTGTGCGGGTCAAAATTTGTCCAATCTATCTCTCCATGATTAAAATCTCCTATAATCGAAATCCTACACTCTCTCTCCTGCACAATGTTAACAACGGAGTTTATAACTTCAATAGTACCTATATGACTTTCCTCATAACCTCTAGCTAATGTTGATTCCTTGGTGAGATATATACAACAGCTATTATAGTACTCTCTGAATCAGTATATATGCAAACAATAACAAATTCTTTGAACTTACTTTCTATAGCAAACGGTCATTTTTTAACCTGAATGCTTTCAATTATAAGCAATGATTTCCCTCCACCAGTTCTCTCAGATATTTCAACTCTCATTACTCTGAAGCCCTTAGGGAAAACTGTGACACTGTTTACGTCCTCACTTGGTCTCTATATCTATTACCAAATCTGCCATATTGTCGTGAATCTTATCCTTTAATTCTGTGCCTTACTACCTACCCAATTAATATTTGCGTACTGCAATCTTAATGAAGCTCCACCCCTGATTTCCTAGCATTATCTTGTTTATCACCCCTTTTGCTGGAAGAACCGTGAAGCAAAATTTTTCTTATATTCTTCATTGCTTCCCTCATTTAACCTTTCAGCTTTTTGTAACAAGCTTTTGACCCTTTCCATCTCCTCCTATGTGGGATAATATCTAGTAAACACTGCTTTGAATTCTTGAAGGTTTTTAGGCTTGTGTGCCAGTGTGTGTGTGATTACCTAATTGTAATTATGTATTGTGCTTAAGGGAAAGAGCCCTAGGATCGTAACTCTCTGTCTCCTGGTCGGTTCCATTTTTGTGCTCAGTGATGCTTATCATACCTGTCCTTAAAACTATGGATTGAGTTAGCATTTACTACCACCTCGCTTATCGAATTGCAATCATCAGCTACTCTTACACTAATAAAGTACTTCCTTATATCCTGCAATGAAGTTTTCTTACAAAGCTTCAAACTATGACCTCTAGTTCTGGTGCCAGCCATATCACAAATATCGATCCCTATCCAATCTGCCATAACTATAAAGGAATTTAAAAATCATCAT